GGCCCGTATATCTGTACTTTCAAATGAGAACAAATTGTAAGAGTGACAGTTATTCCATTCTCGTTATTTGGTTAAAAATAGCCGTTTGGGCTCTGAGAGCCAATGACCTATTGCCATCGCTTTCGTTAGCAACTCTAAACTAAATCTGATGATGTCTGAGCCTGGGGTTCCCTGACCTGAACAGTTAGCCTTTGTATAACATAAGATACCATTTAGGGTGAAAGTACCATCTACTTGTTGATGAGTTCAGGCTCAATCGATAGCATTTCAACTATTTTGATAACACGGGATGCCACCAAATGAAGTGGAACACACTTTTAGAGATAGATCATAATTACTGTCAACGCATACAAGAAGTTTAATTTCAATATTGACTTTGAAAATTATATATTTAAAATAAAAATGTTACATGTTCAGTATTGTTGTACACGTAATAATTATTTAAACATACATGTTTAACTTACGGAAACACGATTAAAATAAACTGCTTAAAAGATTAAGACATTATAGTTAAGAGAATTTAAACTAAGCTAGCAACCGAGCTGAAAAATATAGTATACGTTCATAGTGCTTAATAAATCAATCTCATTAAGAATATATTACCAAGTTTACTGCCGAAGATATCGTTAACAGCGAGGGTGCCTAAATGATGAAACAATGCATTATAATTTTATACGTAAAAATGTCAGAAAAACGTATTTAATTAGCTATATTAATGATTAATGATTTTTAGTTTCGCTCTAAGTAAGTAGCATATTCTGAACGGAAGTTAATATTAATAGCTAATTACAAGCATTGAAACAAAAAAACTTTTAAATTCAAATTGGTCAGAGTCTCACTGATCAACGTGTCTGACAAAATCATACCTGGCAAGAAAGAGATACTCCGTAAAGTGTGTGTGTGAGCACTTTCTGAATCTGAGGTTTATATTTCTGATCAGACGATGGGTGATATTATAGGAGCACAGTGATATCTGAATGCTTATTCAAACTGATGTCTACTCACACTATAACTGAATATCGTTGAAAAGGTCACAGCATACGACATTGATTTGAGCATATTGTTCATCTCCGGCTTTCCATGCATTAACTTGTTGATCACTGGCATAGACAAGAACCCGTAATTAACCTGTGAAGAACGCAGTCTAATGGCATTGTTACAGGGTTCTGATGACTTTGACAAGAGTCAAACCAGATTGTGGGGTCTATTAATCTGTAACAACCCACACATACCCGCGGGTAAAAGTCATGCCTAGTACACTTACCTACTATTATACTTTTAGTCCGCAAGAGTTTAAAACAACCGTAAGCCTAGACAGTAGAGTTTTTAATGTTTAGATTTATTTTTCATGTAACATATGGACTATTCTATTCAAAAGAGTTAACATATTTTCTCACAAGGATTGAGAATGTGGAACTCTTATATCAACTAATTGTCTGATAGTGTGTACATAACTTTCCCACAACTGATGTGGTCACATGAAAATGAGTTACCACCCGTGTCTGTGCTTGCTAAGTTTCTAACACTTGAACATGAACCGCCACTTGTGTCTGTACTTACTCAATTTCCAACACTTGAACATGAACTGCCACTTGTGTCTGTGTTTTTTAAGTTTCCAACACTTGAACATGAACTGCCACTTGTGTCTGTGCTTGTTCAGTTTCCAACACTTGAAAATGAACTGCCACTTGTGTCTGTGCTTGTTCAGTTTCCAACACTTAAACATGAACTGCCACTTGTGTATGTGCTTGTTCAGTTTCCAACACCTGAACATGAACTGCCACTTGTGTCTGTGCTTGTTCAGTTTCCAACACTTGAACATGAACTGCCACTTGTGTCTGTGTTTGTTAAGTTTCCAACACTTGAGCATGAACTGCCACTTGTGTCTGTGCTTGTTCAGTTTCCAGCATTTGAACATGAACTGTCACTTGTGTCTGTGTTTAAGTTTCCAATACTTAAACATGAACTGCCACTTGTGTCTGTGTTTGTTAAGATTCCAACACTTGAACATGAACTGCCACTTGTGTCTGTGTTTGTTCTGTTTCCAACATTTGAACATGAACTGTCACTTGTGTTTGTGCTTGTTCAGTTTCCAACATTTGAACATGAACTGTCACTTGTGTCTGTGCTTGTTCAGTTTCCAACACTTGAACATGAACTGCCACTTGTGTCTGTGCTTGTTCAGTTTCCAACATTTGAACATGAACTGTCACTTGTGTCTGTGCTTGCTAAGTTTCCAACACTTGAACAACTCTGAAAGGGTCTATTTTCGTCAAAAACCCTCGACCACCTCCAGAATCTTGGCACTGTCCCACAATTAAACAGAAGCAGTAACCAAAACTGAAGCCATGAAAGAAACAGCAAATTATCATATATAAAAACCAAATATGGGTTATGTCTTTCCAACATGAATAGAAAATGCAAAAGGGTGTAGGAACTACCGTGCTTTCTCAAACCAAGACACGTTATTCGAGCACATTGGTATCATTAGGTTAGAATACAGACCTAATTCTCCAAATCATATTATCACTCCTTTTAATTATTATTTTTATCATAATGTAGTATATTCGTACAGATACCAATAAAATTATATTGTTGTAATAACTAATTTTCTGTTAGGGTGGTTTTTAATAAATCGTTTTTTAATTTATAAAATCTATTGTTATGCACTTCTGGATTAAAACTATGTAACTAAGTAGACTTATCTTGACTTATAGAGAACCTATTTCTTCAAGGTGATGGCTAACATACATCCAAACCGACCAGAAATAATTGCTCATTCTATCCATACACTCGCATAAAATCCTGAGTATATTCAAATAACGTAATTTCCTAATCATTCAACAATGCGATGCTAAAAGGATAAATCATGACCCTTTACGAGAATGATATTTGTATAATGAGATTGTGAACGACATAGAGAAAAATATACACTTTTAAAGAAACGAGCCTTACACAGCGGCATCAAACTCCAAATTCTCACCTCAAAACAATCCGAAACAATGCTTTCATCCTCAGAATGAATGCTATGGTTCAGAAAAAGTAACCTTTGACCAAAAAAAATCTATTGTAAAGAAAGTTTAGATTGGGGATATGAGTGGGTGAATTGTAAGAATAACAGTCATTACCGTTATTCGTTTAAAAGGAGCTGCTTCAAGTTATAAATACTGAAAACTGGTTGCTTTCCATCTGTTCTAGTTTTCAAAATTAGATATGACTATGCCTGAATCATAGCGATCTCTGATCTGGCTGTTTAGCCTATTGTGTACATAAGATTTCCTTGAGGCAAACAAACAGGTTCGAAAGGCACTAAGGGATAACACATCGTTTTTATTAAGATAATTTAGCCCATCAGTATCGAAATCATTGCAAATCAACTTACCGAAAAACTAAATATTATATGTATGTAGTAGGAATTTCAAGTCACCATTTATTGCCAGTAAAACTATACACATACCATTTATTCGACCACATTGGATTCACAGTTTGTTGGGATAACATTCTAACAACTTTCTGTTATATTAATTTCACGTAGGATAAAAATATTCAGTGATAATAAAAATATTAGTAATTAATTAATAATTAGACTAATGATCGTAGAGGCTATTAGCTATAGCACCGACTGGAGCTAACATTGGTTACTTAGTTTTCCTCAAGCATTAAAATATACAACATAGTTCAAAACCACGAAGAAAAGTAATATCCAGTAAAACATGTTAACATAGAATGCGTTATACTTTATTCATAGTTTGATTTTCTTACTGAAAACTAAACGCTAGGTTATCAAGTCCTACAAGATGATATTTGTTGTAGTGATCGAAGTTAGAACATTTCTATAATGTGTTAATATAAAGTTTGGTATTCCTTGTCCGTCATTAGCTCCTACCGTCTAAAACTGTAGTATGTGCTAATTTCTTTGATTATCTTCTACTCAACTGGAGACAGAAGCAAACATACATACAAAGCTAAACCCTTTCGGTACACAAATAATAAAGGAATTGGACAGAATGTAACTTAAGATACGTGTAAGCTCTTAGAGAATTAAACCTTCACATTCCACACGACAATAAAACCTTTTCATAACATAAAAATAACTACAAGTTATGCATTAAACCGTTTTTTTTTAGAAACCATAAAGTACTTTAAAATAACCTGGCATCAGTGTAAACTAAATTCAAAATCTAGTAAGAAAAAAAAATATTTATCAACTATCCAAAATGTGGTTTTATTTCAAAGATAATTTTTTGGTTATTATATTTTGTATTATATTTTGCAGTATAAGGGCTAGATTTTTCGATGCTTAACGTGTTTTTTGATTAATGTATATGCATGTTTCTCCTCACCTATTTGTAGATGCTCTAAATCATAGACTAAACGATTATTTTATTAACATGCAAAAGTACTTACACAACGCAAAACGAAGATTTAAAAGGAAATACAAAACTACCCATTTCAAAATAGTTTTGAGCAATATATATATTGTAATTTATACATAATATAAGATGTTTCAAATTGATGTAATAGTGACAAAGTGTACACGTACTCTCTGTGCTTGAAGTAAAAAATCATGAACAATATATATTTAATAGAATTGTACATAGATTCTAAAATGATTTATAGTATAGTCTCGTTTCTCTTGATTATATAAGTACATATTCATAGGCACAATTCTTTGAGTACGAAAAATACTATTTGACTAGTAGTTTCAAAACTATTTATATCACCTTGCTTTCATAGAAACCGTAAAATAGAGTCACAATAAAATAAAAACAAATCAGTGACATCATGGCATTGTCTGAATATTAAAAACTTTAAACCAAACTTTCTTTAACGTACAAATTATTGAAATGTTTAACTGATTATTTAATGTATAAGTCTATAAATAAAAATCGCATTCTGTTTTCGCGAAGAAAAATATGACCAAAGTTTTAAGGGACTGAAATATATGAATTTGGCAAAATATACAAAATATAAATTTGCAAAAATACCCTTCATGAAAACGTCAGTTTGGAGCTTGAAGGAAAACTGTTAAAATTTATTGCTCCACAACAGACTTGAATTATATAGCCAACGTTATGTACCAACTAGTATTAATTAAGTTCTTGTGGTTCAAAACTTCGACCTACCCTTCAGTTGTTTCGTGTTTGAGACATTTATGTAGGCCTACAGAAACATTACAGAATATTTGTTCTTACTATAGAAATAAATGTGAGTTATGTTCTAGAACCGGATTCGAGGAAAATTAAAAACATGTAACTGGAATGGCTAAATTGAAAAATAAAACACATCGTAGCTAAAAAATGACAACAAAAAGCAGCCGCATCGTCGAAGTAGAACACAGCTGTCATGTCTGTTACTGCTGCTGTAACCCGTTCGCACATACTCCGTCTTCGTGCTTAACTAACAAGGACATGCGGGAAAATGTTTTGTTACAGGTTTTGCACTTGTACTTCTTCACGTCCGAATGTGTCTGGAGATGAGCCCGCAGGTTAGATCGATCGGCAAAAGCTCGGTTACAGTGTGGACAGGAGAATGGTTTCTCTCCCGTGTGTGTCCGGACGTGACCTTGGAGAAGCCAGGGCCGAGAGAAAGCTTTCCCGCATACAGTACACTTACACGGAAGAGTGTGAGTCCTGATGTGCATCTTGAGAGCCCCGAGGGAAACGTACACTTTGTCGCAATGTTTACAACTAAAGGACTTTTTCGCATTTGTCTCACAGTGGAATTGTTGGTGTTTAGACAGTCCACTACAAGTAGAATAATTCTTGCCACATTCCGAACATTGGTATCGTGAATTATTTACTTGTGTTCTACTAACCATTACTGTAATGGAGTTGTTGTCTAGGGTAGTCTCCCCTTCCGACTCAGGACTAAGAGGAGCTACCAATAACGATTCGTTGTGGTCATTTTGGAACCATGTAGTCTGTGAGTTATTCTTGGCAGTTGTCCATAGTTGTGGCGTTGATGATAAAAGGTTCTCTCTCTCAAAAGCTGGTTTCGGTAAATACAACTTGCTAGGAAACCTATCAGAGTCACGAGTGAAAAGAGGTGGTGATTTAGGTGGAGACATCGGTGGCTGACCAATGGACCCGAAATTGTAATGTTGCTCAAAATGGCAAGGAGAGTGGCCGAAAGATGAATACCGGGGCATCAGACTTCGATAAAAATAAGATCCACCCGAATGGCTGGTCACAGCGTCCGCCATGTTAGGATACGATTCAATAGGAAGAGTAACTTCTGAAAACTGATGGGTTTGTGAGCATTTCTTCAAAGGTTGAGAATTGTTATCAAGTTCTGGGCCTACAACTGTTGCTTTCTTAGTTAAGTCAAATGGAGCTGGGTTTTCTACAGAAAACATAAATATATATATATATATGAATAAGAAATATAAGAGCTAGGTACCTTTAAATATTATTTTGTATTTAAAAAACACATACAGTTAGCATATTATTTGGAGTTCTGAAATTTGAAGTGATAGAGTTAACAAGGAATAAAGAATTAACAATTATAATTTAAAAATCAATTACTTTATTTTATGAAGCAATGATTCAATACTAAAATGAAGTTGACGAATTAGCTTCATTAAGAGTACGTCAACTGTTAAAAAATGGAAACAGATGGACATTCGCAAACATCTTTAATTAAGATGTACGTAATTTTAACTACAAAAAATAAATATTATTTTCAATACTAAAGTGAAAACACTCCTCTTTGATGATACGTTCTTAAAGGTTAACTTTTAAAAACTTTACTTTTCATATTCTTTTTCACTCTTAGTATCTACCCATTCAAGATTTATTTTTCTTTTCATAAGACGTGCTAAAAGCATGTTGGATATTATAGTTATGTGTGAACATTTTATGAGCTAGCTCGTCATTAGAATACCATTCTGTTTATGGCAGCATTTGCTAGAGTGAAACAAAAGGCTCAAGCTAAGAAACAGGGCAATCAGAAAATAGCACATACTAAATATATCTAATATAAAACATTCATTATTTTGTTACAAACGAAGAAATGGATTCATCTGTTTAGCTGTAACCCAGGCGATAAACATCTGCTAAAATCTAATTCCAACTTAAACACTTCTGATTAAGTAAGTACGGAACTCCTGACCCGCAGGATAACCCCGTTATTTTTTATTTTTCACCTGGCGGTTCAGCGAAATATTTTTTAGCACATTCGCATTATTTTTCATAAAAGCGCAAGTAAAGACCCACCAGTTATACAACAAAGTATAAAAAAGGTTTCGTTGTAATCCGAACATAACATTATGCACTGTCTAGATAACGAAAAATAGAACATATATTTGAAACTTTGAAGTCCACAACTTCAGTCTCACAATTTTAAGAGTAATTTTACGTGAAATACTCGAAACAAACAATAACAACAACAACAATCATTTACTTGAAAGTCAATAGACAAGTAAGGTTAAACTTAATGCTATAACATACCAGGATAAAAAGGCACCATTACTGGCAGAGTTGAAATAATGACATCATTGTTTACTTCTGTCCAATATCTTTTTTTGGGTGAGCTACCTCTATACGATAAATGTTTCTTAATTAAAAACGAACGTGGCATGATAGAACGTTTGTTAAATACAAGTTTTTTTTGGCACAAGGAACTACTCTTTAAAATTTTGCTATAACACAGACAGATTTGTAAATCTATGGTTTGCGAGGATAGCACACGTTGCGATGTTGCTTTGTGGTATGTTTACAACTCCTTTTTACACGTGGTTACAAAACTAATGTCTACTACACTTCTTGGCCAGGTAACTTTAAATGGAGATATATCAAAGCTTTTCAGTCTTACAACCTTCTATTTCCTTCTCTTGCAACCAACAGATGTGCAGGTGAAAATCTATTAGACCAATCACATATACTTTTGATACCTTGGGCATTTAGCCAAAACCACCAATCATGAGAGTGTTGATAAGCTCCTCCTGCCAACTGGACCAGGAACTGAGGCACGAAGGGAAGTCGGAAACAGGTGTAAGATAGAAGAAGGTTTTGTTCAACTTAATAACGCTATTTTAGTCCCAGATCACTGTTGTCTGCTAGTAAGCAGAATTAGAGTAAAGGCGGTGAAAAATATTTTTCGTTTTATCACCAGTTACTCATATCTGTCACAAAATCTGTTTCATTAAACAGGAAGAAAAAGTCTTGCTCACCTGTTTGTTTTTCTTTCACAAATAATATCTTTATTATAAAGATGCTAAATACTAAAACTGTGCATTATTAAAGACCTTTATGTATGCTTATACTCATGTATGTATTGTGTAGAATTTAGGAACACTGTTATTATACCTTTTTATCTTAATCACGTTATACAAATATCAATCACGAATCCATTCTAAGAGTGATAAAATATAATGCAAAGTAAGAGGATTTATTTTTCTTTCAGGAACCATTAACATCCCATTCTTTATTTAAATTTATATTGTTTTATTAATGATTAAAAATAAAATGTTTCATATTTTACAGATCTTCAAACTGACAATATCGTTTTTATAATCATAGGAGTAATTATGCGTTCAAAGTCATCTTATTGTCGATAAAATTTGACTATTTTTTGTATTTAAATAGAACGATAAATGTTTTAACATAATCTGTTCTTTATGACACATATAAAGTTATGAAACAAGAAATACGACTCTATAAAAATAGTTTATGTTAGCAATAATAATAATAAATATAATACTAATAATAATAATGAAACACTTGTTATAACTTTTGTTCCATATTCTGGGCTTAAGTATTTCATTAGTGACTATGGTCTAAGTCTAATATCAGACACTTAAAATGATATATTTATAAGAGTAGATTTTCAAATGCATAAATGGTTTTTAACGCATTTCGTCCTTCGTTAAATTACACGAATTTAGAAAAATAGACGCAATACTTAAATGCTATTAAAATATTTTTAATGAAAAAAGCTTGACATTTGTGATCTTTGTGGCATTGAATTGTTTAATTACGCATTTAATTCACGCTGTCTATCATTTCTGTGTTTAGTTAAGCTATACAAGTAATTACATCAAATGACGCTAAGAACTTCAAATACGTAGATAGATATACATGAAGTAATTAGTTAAAAAAAAGAAGTATGGAAACGCCATTTACATTATTAACTGCGAGTTTTGAAGCTCAAAATATTCATCAAAACAAAATATATATTCTTTTTGGCCATGCTGTTATTTTCCTTTTAAAACTAATTTGCTTCTCTTTGCATGATACACATTTTATAGTAAGAGTAAAGACACTAAAACTGATAATATATTATGATTTTACTTGATAATATAGGTTAATTTTCCTATGTCCGTCTAGTCTAATGATTAGAATGTCATCCCCATTAGGAATAAAAACATCGCATTTAAAAGTTCAAACTCTTGGATAAATATAAACAGCATCGTATATATAGAAGTATAAGATAAACGAATAAAATTATGATAAACAAAAACGACATACTGCAATGGTACACCCTGGTAGGAAATGGATACGCGAGGTGGAACAATAGTAAGGACACAATCATGAGGAAAAAATCTGTGTGAAAATGTACATCTCTATTAGAAAGTCTCAAGAATGAAATGAAACAAATAATTAGAAGCGTAATTTAAAAATTAAGAACAAATTGGTGTGCTCAAGTCTAGAATATTCCGTATTTAAAACTATCATTTATCAGCTGCGGTAGGATGCTAGCTTCTTACTTGAGAGAAGGTATTTGCTTCTGATGAAAAACAAAATTACGTTACCATTATAGGACGTAAATTTTAACTTTAGGAGATTAGTCTTAGTGGCTGTGACCAATTTTAGTAAACTGTGTTTTTCTTATTTTATCACTGTTTACTTCTTTCCAATATGTATTTTTTGAGTGAGCTACCTATACAACGATAGATGTTTTTTATATATACACCACTTAAACTTTCTGGTAATGTATTAAAGTAGGGGTCACTTTTCAAATGTTTGTGAAATGGTAATCTCTAAAACTAAAGATACCAACTACCAAGAAAGAGGCTAAATATAGACTCATATGTAAATATTTTATTTTTGACCATTGTAACATCTTACATTTCTTCTCCAAAGGTTTTTTGATAGAAAGGTCGAAAGATCTTCCTGCAATAAACACGTAAAAAAACGTCTCTCATGTATGAGCAAATAGTAACATTTTCTTGAATAATCTGCTTTCTTTTGTTTTTGCAAATAAGTAAAAATCATTCCGATGGATGTAAGCAAAACTTTCTTGCGGTAAGTAAAAACTCCTTCTACATTAATCGAATAAAATCTTTTTACAGTAAGAGAAAGATTTTTCTGATTTGAATAAAAATATTCCATTGATAACCAATTAAACTCTTTCTACTCTAAGTAACGAAGAAAAAGAATTAAAACCTTTCCGCAGAAGTAAAACCCTTCCTGCAAAAACAAGAGAAGTATTCCTGGTGTTGGTAAGAATCTACCTGTGGTGGAGAAAAGTGTTCTAGTAATAAACAAGTGTAATATTCTTGCCATAAGTAAAACTCCTCCTGCAGAAACAAGCAAAGTATTCCTAGTGTAGGTAAGAATCTACCTGTGGTGGAGAAAAGTGTTCTATTAATAAACAAGTGCAATATTATTGCCATAAGTAAAACTCCTCCTGCAAAAAATAAGCAAAGTATTCCTAGTGTAGGTAAGAATCTACATGTGGTGGAGAAAAGTGTTCTAGTAATAAACAAGTGTAATATTCTTGCCATAAGTAAAACTCTTCCGGCAATAAGTACAAAAAAATTATTATAGATTGTGAAGTAGAAAAATATTTCATACAGTGTCTAGAAAGTTTAAATATTTTAATTGGTACACCTGTATGCAAAGGAAATGGAAATGTAGAATATTTTTATAATATGTACTTCAAAACTATAATTACAAAATGAACACCAGTCGCAAAGTAATGTAGTTTTGATCAGTATTTATTATAGTTGTCCAATATATTACCTAAACTAAGACCTTTAAAATATACACGATATTAACAAAATATTCAAAAAATATTCTTAAGACAGAAGGGGGCGTGTCCCCCCGAGGGATCTACTACTGATACTCCGTAAGCCTACCTATGGCTAGATCACCGCCTGGGTTCAGTTAGTAAATACCTTCTACCAACGGTTTAAACATGTCTATGTTCTTTAGACTTCATTTCAAAACATACCAGTAAGGGCCAGTTGGAACAAAGTCAGATTTATCAAGGCAAGTTCTAAAATTTCATTATTATTATTATTATTTTGTTTCTTTCGAAACAATATATATATATATGCAATAAATAACACGAAAAGCAATAATATAAAAACACCAATTAATAGTGTTATCAATTAAGATAACTAATAGTACGGGGAAATTTAGGGTTAAAGAAAAGTAAACAAAAGTCGGTTTCCTTTTTTTTTTCATTTACTTGTGAATTTGTTATTGCATTATATATATATAATTTTCAATTTAGGCTCGGCATGGCGCTCGACTCGTAATCTGAGGGTCGCGGGTTCGAATCCCCGTCACACCAAACATACCAACCTCCGCCTTTGCCTGGTCCCAAGTCAAGGAGGAGGGTTGGGCGCGAGGCTAGGAACTCCACCCCGTAAAAACCAACCTGCTACAAGTAACTGCAACAACAACTTTCCGTTGGTGAGGTGTTGTTACTGCCCTATGCTCCACTGGGAGTTTACAGGAATAAAAGAAAATAAATAAATTTCAATTTGATTCATTGTATACAACCGTTGAATGGTATTACCAGGATAATTTTTTCCTTAGTTTACTAATAAGTGTATATATATAAATAGAGAGATAGGGGTAAGTTAGTATTCAATAAAATGGTATTATTACAAGCTGATGCTACATTAAACTATTTCTAAAATCTCATATTTTTAGATGTGATTTTAAACCTATTTCGTGAGATTAAATTCTATGTTAAGCAATTCTAGGACATTTTCCCACGTATAAAAGAAAAACTACGTTCGTGGATAAATATCTCAGAGTTTCTTAACATATCATATTTTCATTAGATCAAAGTAATATTTAACATTAAATTATCACGTTCTTATATTTAGATTACCAAATTTGTTTTTGTAAAGAAAGAAAAATGTAGTACATTATATTTGGCCATGTAGAGCTACAGAACGTTTTCACAAGTGATATTTGGTCATGTAGAGCTAGAACTTTTTCACAGTATTCTAAAATCTCATATTTGTTGTTTTTGTAAAGAAAGAAAAACGTAGAACATGATATTTGGCCATGTAGAGCTAGAACTTTTTCACAGTATTCTAAAATCTCATATTTGGTTCTACGTTTTTCATTTTTTACAAAAACAACAAATATTATGTTGTTGAATCTCTATTTTTGTTTAGAAAGCTTCCTGTACGTAATATTCTACATAAAATTATTGTTTAAAACCATCTAGATCTTATATCTTTTGTAATTATAAATGATGATTTATATCATTGTCCAATATTTTGTATATCATTATTTTTAAAGAGACAATTTTTCCAAAAGTTTTCGTTCTAAATAATCTACTTACAAAAGATATTATAAACAATTAATAATTAAACTTTCGGTTCGTTCTTGAATCAAAAACAGAATATATTTTCTAAGTGACCTTACTTCGAATAAGGGACCTTCACATAGTTATTTTGATAAATTCGATGCTTATATAACTGAATAATGATGAATCATAAATGTAATTAAGAAATGAATTTATAATGATTATGATAATCGAAACAAATCAGTTAAATTAGATTATCCTTTGATGCCAAAATCAATAGATATTATTTTAAAAGAAAATAAAAGAAGCAAACCAAATATTTTTGGTTTATGCCATAATGATTCTATCATAAATTTGTTAATTATTTTACTAAGTATATACATTATCCATAAAATCTGCTCAAGCTAACAAAAAATATTTCCAAAAGATATTTTGAATATTACTTTTGTTTGTTTGTAATTAAGCACAAAGCTACACAATGGGCTATCTGTGCTCTGCTCACCACGAGTATCGAAACCCGGATTCTAGCGTTGTAAGTCCGCAAACATACCGATGTGCCACTGGGGGGCGAATATTACTTTCTATACTTCATATTTTCTTACTAACATATTGTGTTATATCTTTTATGTCTGAATTTGTATTTTCAGAAAATAAATGTAAAATTTTAACACTATACATTTTCAATAATCTACGCATTCATGTAACTTTTATAGATTTAATGAAAGGTTCAAGTTCTATCACATTTGTGTGTGAAGTTTCATATCTTTGAATAATAAATTTTCTGGATATTCTATCTGGGTTTCTAATACATAAGTCCATAAAGAATATTAGTTATATTTTTAATAATCAATAGATTCAGTAAACCTCTGATTAGAAATTAATTTTGGCCTTTCTAAACCTTTAACGATTGTAATTTTACCAATGCTTGTTAATTTGCGTTTCTATCAATCGTCCAAAATGTTCATAATGTTAAGATCATAATTCATATTACTAATGATTTTGAAAGTTATTTATCTCAAACCACTGCTGGAAATGGTATGTGTTATGGTATGATGCGTTATCAAATCGAAGCAGGTATGTTTTTTTCCTCTTTCCCCATGCAATTCCATTTATACAGACAGAGCAACATTGTCCAGAATATCATAATACACCAAGTAATTTATGAGTTCTTCGTCCTTTAACTAGTAGCAGGGGTTCAAGGTCAAACGAGTTAAAACAGGTCTTTAGACACCAATCTTCGTGGTTCAGTAACATAAACGTATCCAAAACTTTCTATAAGTGCATCAGAAACAAATGAGGAGCAGTAGGATTTACTACTATAAATGTCCAGCGCAAAAGGTACTACGAACACCCACATCTTGCATTCACAGCTGTCACAAATTTCTAGCGCTAAAGGTACTACGAACACCCACATCTTGCATTCACAGCTGTGACAAATTTCTTGCGCTAAAGGTACTACGAACACCAACATCTTGCATTCACAGCTGTGATTACTGGCTAATGAGATGCAGCCTATATACGAGATTCAGAAGCATGGAGGTTCCTGGGCAGAATGGGTTTATAGGCCTGCAGTTCTAAACTTTATTCAAGTTCTCAGTTGATGAATTCAATGCCAGATTTTATGGTTTTATTTTAGAACACGTTTAAAAGTTTGAATTGCTGGACAGTGTGCCACATAAGGACGTTTGATAGTCTTAGTGCTTTTGGCTCACGTTACCCACATTGTGTTTGCCTATAAGTTTAGGAGGGCTGAAAAGTCTCAATGAACCATACAACATATACTTCATCTTTCTAGTTTCTTGAGTTCTTTTTCTCGTGTCTTCTTGAAACCAATTGTCTGTCAGTGGCAGCTGTTGAACTGTATTAACCCTATGCAGTTGTGCGTCTTGAGAATTATTAGCAAATTGTTTCGTGATTAGCTGGATTGTGTTGTTCCAATGTTTTCTTTTTCTTTTGTGAATTGGTATAAATATTTCATGCAGCTTGATATAAGGTAGTGTTAATTTTCTTTAATATTCTTAAGCTTAGGTTCTAACATTCTTTAAACTGCAAAAAAGCTCCTACACTTGAGAAATGCGAAGTTCAGTATACCTCAGAAAAGGCACGAAAAATTAATGGTTTTGTGAACTTTAAAAAAGAAGAAACTTTGAAGAATACAATGTTATTTTCTTATGAAAACATTTTAATGTTATACTTTAATCTCACTAAAAATTCACTGAGTTTTCCACATTAAAAAAGCTGTTTTAATTAGGCTGGCAGTAGCTCTTCCGATGTAGGGATGACTCGGAGTGTTCATTGAAATGGTATTTTAAATATTTCTTCAATAGGTCATCAGAACTTTACAATACTATATAGTGTCTTCATTTGTAGCAATATCTATGTAATGACTGAGTTCTGGAATATCTGTAAATATCATAGCAAAGAGTTTGAATTTCTTGTTCTTCTTTCCTATGCTTCTTTTTTATTACACGATAACTCAAAAACCAAAACAATGGTGTCAACCAATTTCACTGAGGTGACATAGTTTCAAACAGAGTATCCGCTTTTATAAGTATTATTAATAACTAGTAGTAATAAAAAAATAATATTTTTAGTGTAAACGATGTTATTAGTACCCCTTGAAGTTTGCTTTCTTACAGAAATGTGGTGTTCCTTAAGCTTAAGTACCGGGTGAAACAGGCATTACCAGCCAATCTTACTATAATGGACGTAGCGTGTATGTCAGGATCTATGTATGTAACCAAAATTCCTGCACCAACTATTGAAAGGCACCACAAACAAAAATCCATAAAAAATTTCACACTTTGGATATTCAAGATTCAAACAAATAGAAAATTAACTAGAGTATGTGCAACAACCATTTTCTGTATAACAGAACACAATTCTAATAAAAGTATTCTCCTCACAACAAGAACACAACTTTCGCTAGGACTGTACATGAGAATTTGATTGTATTTTTATTGATATAATTTTTATAAGTAGTACTGAGAAACTGGAGTTCTTAAAAATACTATTATGTTTTAATATAAAAAATACCACTTTTAATACATAAAAACATTACACTTTATATCAGTAAAATGTTGATCTCTGTACATTAAATCATTTTGATGCAATGAGTTAATTGAGTATGACTAAAGAGCACAATCCGAACACTTGTTTCATGCAGTACTTCCCCGAAAAAATTTTTTTTAGAAAGTGTTAATTTTTTTGTAATTTTGTTAATGAGGTATGAATACTACGATTAGTAATTACTAGCATAAACAGATAAACAATAAATATTACAGTTGGAACCTCATTTTATTTAGAACTTGGTTATAAATACAACCTTCCTATGTCCATTGAAACATTGCACTAAAAAAATAAAAACAAGTGAAAAAAAATAAATAAAAAACGAAGTAAATATAGGGATGGCTAATATTAATCCTTCAAAAAGAATGCAAATGAGATAGTAGTGATAGTATTTGCATAATCCCTACATAATAGTACAGGCAAGAATTAACATAGCGCAACATATATAAATATTCAATCACAATTGAGTTTAATTTATCTTATTTTTGTCTGTTAATATTCTACTACACAGTGTGCCTGTGATATTATGTAGGGATGATGCAAATGCCATCCCTACTATCTTGTTTGCATTATTTTTGAAGGATTGATATTGGTCATCCTTATATTTACTTCCTTTTTTGAAAAGTTTTTACTTTACTTATATATATATATAAGAACTCAAGTTGTGATACATATTTATTCATTGTTAAGAACAAATTTTCCGGACAGTTCAAGTAAAAATTTAACTTTACGAAATTAGTAAAAGACGATTCTTCAACTTTTAAGTTAGTTAGTGAGGCACGGTAATGTGAGACGCAGAGAATAAATATATCGTTTCAGTTGTCTAAGAATCATGAGATAAAAATGATAAAACATTAAAGTTATGAGTGAATCTTTTATTCAGCAGACTGAAACTTAGTTTAAAGAAAGTATTCAGGATCAAAATGAGTCAGAAGAATTTTTACAAAAGCACTAAGTAGCTGACGTAGCATTTTCTATGTTTGTGGACCCTGATGGAAGTCATTTCCTTTTAAGATGTCTGGCCTTGATCTCTTGGAGCTATATGTAACCTACTTCAACCTCCTTGTATTGTGCATTCCATATTGTCCAATGAACAGTCAGCGAGAGACAGAATAAAAGGACATCAAATGAATGGCTATAGAAGGTTTTCCCCATAGAAAGACGAAGCTAAAAAACGCTTCCCGCTCAGCATGTAATGTGTACCGAACAACATGGTTTTTAGCTAAGAATTATTAGGCAAGGTGAAAGAGCCTGAAAGGAGTATACCGTGCGTCTCCTAAATAAGATTGGAACACCCTTATGTTACTCCTTTGCATTCTCATGAAATGTGAAAAGAAAGGAATTACTCGTCCACATCAAATTTCCATTTGAAACAGTATTGCTTTGAAGGGAAAACACGGTCCTTCTTTGCCACAAATACCTTAACACAGCTTAATATAAAATATAATACAAAATTCCTCTCATTTAAGAGTTGAGAACAATCCATTCATTCTGTATTTTGTAAATCTACGATTATCAAAAATTTATATATTCATACCTGATTAATGCAAAGCTTATATTTTATTCTCGCTCAATCGAAGGCAAGCCTGCTTTATGTTAAATATTTATTCAAGAAAAAATGCATAAAGTATGTAAATTAGAAGGTGACTGGCCACGAGACTGCCAAGCCAGCATGTTTAGTCACAAAAGAATCAAAACAAGATACAATGGTGTCAGTCGAGGTTAACGTTCTCTGTTTTATTTGTCATGCCTTTCAAAGGAACACCACTTTAATCTGCATTGTACTTTACGTGACTAGTAAAGAAACCATTCAAATTGATTCCACCAAGTGGAATAAGGATTAAAACTCAGTGGTAATATTCTGGTAAAGTTTTTTGAAGATTGTGTAATTTAAAGCTCCCGGTGGTTAACGTGCCCGATTGGAAATCCGAAGGTTTATGGGTCATTCCCATTACCGGAAAAAATCGCACTCCGCTCTTTGGGACTCTTTGGGACCGTGGATGCATTATAAGAGGGATGGTAAATTCCTTTTATTTTATTAGAGTACGTAAGAGCTGGCGGTTGGTGTCATTGTTTCTTTTATTTATCAGTTCAGATTTAGGGACGGCTAAAGCATACAATCCTTTGCATATACGAAACCAAAAATCACTATGTAATTTTCAGTTCTGTTTGTATGTATCTAAATCTTCGACAATATTCTAACCAAAATGTATTTGTATGTTATATTAAATTTTGTATAAAATTAACTACATTGATGATTTGTTTTTTACATACACGGAGAGAAAAAAAGTAAAAAAACAACAACAGCAAATCAACAGTAATATTATTTGCATATCAATAGGTACAGACGTACAGACTTCGTAAAGGATTGTAAATCAACAGATGTATAAGTATAAAAGATGTAGTCCACGGGAAGTCCAGTGAGAATGAATTACGTAATGGAATAAATGCTGCATATTCATATATATAATAGCCACTATGTTATATGTTT